AATTCTGGAACATGACTGTTCCAAAACCAGCTGCTTCAGCAGCTGAACTGGGAGGCTTCATCCACCTCCACCCGCAGCTCCAGCAAGAGATCGAGGAGCCGGAGTCTGAGGAGCTCCTTTTCAACCGGGTGGTTTCCGACAATGTGCTCCTCCGACCCAAGAACTTGAGCGAGTCGGTCACCAGGTTTTGAAATCGGCATCAATTGTCCGCTTGTGAATAGTGTTGGGAACCCGTGTAAGGACGTAGGTGAACATTTGGTTGGCTAGATTTTTGTCATTGAGCAAGCTCGAACACGTCCCCCTCTGGTTCCATGTTCGTCCACACCCCCATCCTCCACGGCATAATTAGGCATCAAAGAACAATTTGATAAGGCATCAAGAAAAAGTTGCCAAGCTTCAACAACAGTTTGGGCCCCTGTCTCTTTCCAAGTATTGTTCTTATCGTATTGCTACCTCTACACGTAATATCCGTGCACTTTTTTCTTGCTCATGTATGGTACCGTTGTCCTCAAGTTTCTTGATGCTTATCAAAATATTTGTTGACACCGTGCACAAGTTTTGCCATGTTATTCCTGAGTGTTTAGGTCATGTTTTCTTGATGTTTATCCTTTTTTCTTGATGTGTCACCCTCATGCTCCACTATCCAGCCTTTTCATGATGATTTCTACAAGTAGTGCCGATCACATTCTCAGGTGAGGAACGTCATGGCCAGCAAGCCCAAGAACAATTCGGATGCCATCTTGGCACTGCGCGAAGTGAGAGAGCTGCTGCTGGAAGAGGTGGTCGGCCATGGCCATCTTGGCCCAGATGATTACACCCGAGGTGGCGTGAAGACATGCAAGCAGAGAATGCCCATCGAAGGTCTTGTCCAAGACAAGTTCTACGAGGGCAAGATCGTGAAGAAGACTCGCGCAGGCTTGATGCTCGACCTCAACGCAGAGTGTTTGGGGCTTCTCCGTTGGAGATTGCTCAAAGGAGTGCCCAAGAAGCTTCAAAAAGTTGGAGGCTTCTTGGCAAACTTGTTGGTCACCAAGATTGAAAAGGCCGAGCAGCGCGTCATTCTGAAGCTGCAGGGAATAGGCTTCAGCCACGACACTATCGAGGAGACGCGCTACAAGGACATCTATGGATATGTCCACCACTGGTCCGAGCTCCCTGGTGCCCCTCCTTACGCTCGACTTGTACCACCACTTGCAGAGGCTGATGCAGATTCCAATGCCCGGGTGAACCGACCGTTGGCGCCACGAGACAAGCGCCTGGCCCGATGGGGGAAGAACGGCCCCCGCAGCTCCTGAAATTTCAATGAATATTTCAGATGTGACAGCAATTTCAAGCGCAAGGTGCTGAAAAAAACAGTTCATTGAGTCCTCTGCAATGATGATAGATGTGGCTTCGCACAAATTAGGACCCTGCTTTTGAGAAGCACCTATGGCAGGAAATCAGCTGAGTTCCGGTAAAGCTTCCGCTGGTGATGTATTTCAAACTAGAAAACCCATACAGCCCATAATTACACCCTAATCCTGAAGCCTCTTCCTGGTCTCCAGAGCTAATCCTNNGTTCCCCTACCTTGTCATGTATAATTACGGCAGGTCATATAGACTGCTGCAGGGAGCCCCTGTAACATGTGAGCCGATTGCAACTGCAGGTGCGCGGGCCTCCAAGCGACCCATCATCCAGACTGCGTGAAGACTTTGTGCCAAAAGGGTTGAAGTGTCAAGTGATGGTTTTGAGGTGGCATTAGGGTGTACAGGGGTAAGGGTTGAGGGAGGGGGTTCAGTCTTTATGGAGTTCCGGGTTTTGGGTTTTGGGATGTCATGTTTAGGATCACAAAGATACGAACGTTTCTCAACACAAGCTTCGTCGTCAGGGGGACCGACTGCCCCTACAAGGTCCATCCTTGTATCCTTAGGCCAGGGTATAAGGCTGTATGGTCACTAATAGTCGGTATTTGGGGTAATTCGAATAGAAGGTAGATGGCAAGGTCTAGGTCTAGGTACATTCTGTGCTTTGTATATATATATATATACATGTATAGATAGTCCCGCTTAAGTAGATAGAATATGGCTTTGGGCATATCATAATAGGATCCCCATATGCCCCATATTCTATCTACTTAAGGGGGACTATACCCTCAAACCCTCAAACCTATACCCCAGATTCTATGTACTTAAGGGGGACTATACCCTAAACCTTAAACCCTGTACCCCAAAATTCTATCTACTTAAGGCGGGCTATAGTTTTGCAAGGGTCCTACTGGAGCGGACTCTTTCCGCCCAGAAGTGCGCGTTCGGGTTTTGGACTGCTGGGAGTCCTGCATCTTGATTCTTCGCAGTTGCGGCTGTGGCATTTTTTACAATTTTCCTCATGCCCAACAATGCCCCATCCATATATATATATATACGTATATATATATATCTCTCTCTCTCTCTCTCTCTCTATCTCTCTCTCTCTATCGCTCTCTCTCTCTGTCCCTTTTTCAGGTGCTGTGTTCTTTCATATTGCCGGTCTTGAACTTTTGAAAGGTCCATCTCACTCTCCGTCTGCCTTTCGTTTCTATGCTTCATTTCCCGATCGTTATGTCCATTTCAGCTGTTACAGTATATGTCAGTGTCATCCAATTCCTGGACCTGCGACTTCGACTGCGCCGCCACGAGTAGCCGAAACGTAGGACTCTAAACCCTAAAGCCCTAAACCCTAAACGCTGATGGCTTCACTAAGACCAAGGCCCCTTGATAACAGGCAGGGAAGGGAAGGGCAGCAAGGGCAGCGTGGGTTTGTTGGAGGGCGCGTAGGGTTCTCTGATGTGAGCAAAACTTGCTCCTGAATGGATATTGTCCCACAGTTGCCTTGGAGCACTTGCTGTGCGTCTAAAGCTTGACTCCTACCCTCTACACAAACCCTGAACTACCACAATGCCAGTAATTCAGCAACATGAGTGGCAGCGAAATGTTTGACACGCTGGCTTGATGCCTTGGCTTTCTGGCGGCCAAGTGTGCTTGGTTTCAACATTTGATTTTGCTTGCAGTGCGTAAGGCTCAAGTTAAGGGGCCTCGGCTCGTTTCGGACTAGGAATCATGCAAGCAGCATCGACCCCAAACCCTCTGATGTAACCTTTGCCTTGACGGGAGTTTTTCCAAAGGTCCCCTAGGATCCCTGCATTTGTTACAGGCTCCAGATGAGTGCGTCACGGCCAAACGCCTGTAAGCCAAGCCTCGCGAGATAACCTGACCCACGGCTTATGGTCAAACCCCCTCATTCCCCATTTATACTTAAAACATCCTTTAAAAAAGCTAGGGCCTATGGTTAATGTTGTTCTATAGGGGAAGGCAGAATTATGTCAACAGTCGTTCTGTGAAAAGCTGCTTTCGATTTGGCTTCCCGATGCGACCAGAGAAACGCTCCAAAGATGGGCGTGTTAGGAAGGAGAAGAAGGTGCGCTGCCTCAGCTTTACTTACTGGAGGTAAGTAGGGAAGAGGGGAAGAGAGAGCCTGTATAATCCCGATAGACGATTTTCCCTCATTCCAGACCTATATACTAGTTTTCCTCATTCCTGCAGATTTGAAGATGGTTTTGCAGCTGAGCACTTATTTGCACGCCGCAGTATCTATCATAGGAAGGGGGATGCCATCTGTGTTTGCAAGATAAGAACAAGTCCGAATCTCAAGATGAGATGCACTACATCTCCTTCCCCCCAAAACAAAGATGTCTTCAGACCCCCCGGGGTAGTGCCCCGTGTTTGTGGGCAACGAGGGGAAGCCGCAGGGATTCCAGCATCTAAAAGTCTTCCATTACAAGCCGATGTCGCAGGCTGCCAAGCCGGAGAAACCAAAGAAGGAGGCCTGTCCAGGGTGAGCATGCTGACCTGTCATTGTTGGCTGCCAGTTGTTTATGGATGCTGCATTACTTGGTTCATGAATGCATGGGACATTTTGTCTGCAGCCATTGGCTCCAAGCCTTTGGTAAGTAGGTGGGACCCCTGTCCCAGGGATAACGTGGGTTGATCAAAGACGGCTATCTTGGAACCTATGCGGCGGGAAGACTCAAAGCCAGCGCCTGCCGCTCCCAGCCGACCAAAAATCACCAAGAAGGTGTCCTTCAAGAATCTGTCGGACAGTTGTTTGGCACAAGTACAGGCGTGCGAGACCAAGGAATTCTGGAACATGACTGTTCCAAAACCAGCTGCTTCAGCAGCTGAACTGGGAGGCTTCATCCACCTCCACCCCCAGCTCCAGCAAGAGATCGAGGAGCCGGAGCATGAGGAGCTCCTTTTCAACCGGGTGGTTTCCGACAATGTGCTCCTCCGACCCAAGAACTTGAGCGAGTCGGTCACCAGGCTTCGCAAATCGGCATCAC